TTAAAATTATAGTTAATGATTTAAGTTCCAAGCGGAAGATTTGTGAGACAAAAACGAGAAGATTGGATAAATGTGCACATAAAATGGTTTTTAGTCCGTGCGCAGATCAGACGACCTCCTTATCTCAAGGGTCGGCCGAATCCAGKAAGAAGCGGAAAAGTAGACATCACAACGGATGAGAAATATTAATCCAGAAACTTTTTTCGCCTTTTTAATGAATGCTTATTATTTTTCTTCCTACTGGCTAGACCAATTATCCAACGCTGCTCTTTATCGTGCTGTAAAGCTTATACCTTATTTATATACATGTATATATTTTTTTATCAAACTTAATTATATATTTTTATCTGGTTGTGTGCAAGTTTTGAGCGATAATTAATGTTCTTTTATCATTTTGTTCTCACGATTTAAATTTCTTATGTATATGAAATTATCAGAAAGGAAATAATATAATCGAAATACCATTACATTTAACAGCAAAGAATTAAGTTATATGTTTCAACGTTTAGCAGTACACGTAGTAATAGTTTCAAATGTTTCCTCTGTTTCTTCGACAACAATATTATTATTATTATCTCCACTTTTTCGTCTTGCACTCATTAAAAATTTGATTATTTTTTAATTACACAATCGTATTTTTGGAAAATAATTCATCATAATGAATACACAATAATTTCTTCGTCAAATAAATACTACAACTAACAGGATGATTCATCGACCATGCATACAGAGTTATATGATAATATGACTTAAATCCATTGTATTCATAAAAAATAATGCTGCCATCAAAATATTATGATTTTTAAGTTTCCAAATTATATACTAAAATATCATATTTTCAGATGCTTGCATTTGATTATCTTATCATACTTTACAAAGTGTCCTATTTTTGAAAAAAAAAATTTTTTCTACAAACATTTTTATTATTAAGCATACAACTTTTTTTTTTWWAAATATCATGTTATATCTAAATCAAAACTCAAAGTGGTGATTTCTGTGTAATTAAATTTTATCTTATAAGGGTAATAAGCTATAAATAATAGTTTTACATAAAATATAAAATAAAAATATTGTTAAAATTTTAGTTTAGTCATTTTATACTTGGAAAATATTATAACCCCATTTGACTAAGAAACCAGAGCTCAGTTATCTCTCAATAGTTGTAGACTAGCCTAAGATAATCTACCTTGAATCAATCATTGCTCTGTCATATTTCGATTATAAACGATTATATTCAGTAAATTATTTTTTAGTTTAATGTTCAGACTTTGTACGGTATTAAATACCATACTTTATTTTATATTAAATAWATTAATCATATTTAATTTTATATTTTTTTAATTGTTTAATTACCACCGATTTTATATAGAAAAACATTTTATATATCTATGAATAAGAACTGAATCCTGGTATGGATGTCGTTAGCTTTGGATGAATGACCACACAGGTTTTTGGTGACGAATTATCGCACCATATACATATGTGTTCCAAATCCACAGTATGTCCTATGTTGACTAACTCAAATTAATACTATTTTATTGTATCACCTTTACAATAAATCATATTTTAAATACCCTATTAAATTTGTATTMTATACGTTTAACTAATATCAATAGTAGTACTATATTATTATAATATTAACCTAACCTAACTATTACAACTCATTAAGAAATATTTGTTTAAATAAGTAAATTAAACAGTTTTAAAGGTTTTTTAACAAATTATTTATTTTATTACTATATATTAGTACTATAGATTACATATTTTAATGAAAAATAAGCTTAATAATAGTAATTTGAATGTTATGTATAACTGAGTACTGGATGACTGTATTGAATTCGTTTCAGTTTCTCCAGCTCCTTCAGTTTCTTCAGTTAGTATGATTGTGTCACCGGGATTTAGATCAAACCACTCTGTTGTTGATATTGATTTTCTAAAAATATATTTTTTTAAGTATATCATTATTTAAATATGTATATTCTATATGGTTTTATAGTACATTAGATTAATATAAGTACGACAATCTTCCATAATTCACTATTTATTTTTCCAAAATTATTATGTACTAACCCAGTGTCAAAAATAGAGTTGCCTGATCCAACAACAACTTTTAAAGAATTACTCGAATATGACATTTTGTTGGATAAACGTACACTCTGTACATAATCTGCATCCATGTTGAAAATTAACGTATAATTCTTATGCCCTGGTAAAAATCTGTATAATTTTATAAAATCATTTTTAATACATATATATTCCAAACATTKCATACATTATTTAAAAATTAATTTATGTTTGCCATTCATTTTTTACCACAAATACAAATTTAATGCTTGATAACTATCATAATTTAAAAGAGGAAAAAGTTAAAGAGAAAAACAAATATTCTAGTATTATGGTAGACTTTTGTTTTTTTCTTCAAATAAACAATTAATAATCGGTATATAAAATATTAGCAAAATAACAAACGATTGATATATCTTGTTTCTATAGATAAAACCTACGTTGAAGGYAGAGAAATATTTACTTATACTAATACAGTAACAAGACAAGTCAGTTTCATATTATTACATTTAAGGTAAAAAAAATTGCTTCGAGGCGTATCAATTATATTAATCATAATATTAATAATTGGATATTTCTTAAAATTATTATTCGGAAAATCCAACTAGATATTTTMGTGATTTTTTTATCATTTGTAAATTCTAAATTACGCCTTGCATTTTACAGTTAATCATATTATATACCGGTAGTTAAAAGTTAAGCGCTCTAAAACTATTGCAATCATATATTTAAAAACTGAAATGGAATCCCCGATCATCATGTTGTCATGCTACAGGCCAAAGACAGTGATGCAAAACAAAGGCTCTTATACCCCCTTCAGTTAACATCTTGAGTATTCAATATTTTTGTGCTAAATGTTTGAATTGACTTGTTTATTAGTAATTACAAATTTATGTAAAAAATCTGTTAAAATAATATAATGTTTAGAATTTTGGGTTCACTATTTCTGTGATTGGTACGCAATAATGTTCATTTACAAAAAAATAAAAAAACATCATTATAAAACCAATACATTTTTCGAATAGCTCAAAATTTAAAGCTATAGTCTGATGGTAACGGTAGTGTGTGGTAGACTGTGCATAGACTCTCACTGATTGTTTTAAAGTAACATTATCGATGAAGGCAATACGTTGTTGAACCTCTTCACAGTTGTATCTCTTTTTTCRCCAATGTGCATATAGCTAATTAACTACTGGTTTGAAATTTCTGCTTTGGATAACATGTATAGTTTGTCATTAAATATAGTAAAAATAAATATCTCTCTTTTGAGAAATATATAAGATCGTTATAATTGACAAGCAAGGTTTAAGAATTTTCTGAAATAATTTTCAGTCAAGGTTGTTTAAATGTTTTGTTGATCTTATTTCTTTATATCTTCTAACCATTTTATATTATGATGAAATCTTACATACGATTTCTGTTAATTAATCAGACATAACGTACCACAATGATAAAAGATACTGAATTTTAGGACTTTTTATTCATACTTTGCATAAGACCATTATAATGAAGCTATGGTTCAAATTTCAAATTTCTATCACCACAGGAAATCAACCAAAAAAACTGTATTTTTTCATTACACATTTTTTTTTCCACCAGGTACTATTGATAACAATGGTAAAATGTATTTTTTATTTTTTCAAATTTTGTTTGTTAATAACTTAAGTCTTAAAATCATTTAAATTATTTAACAAGGAAAATTTGATAAACCATTATCGGAATAAATAAATTGTTATGTTAGCTTGGGTGCTAAATTAGATATCGATCATTGCTTATTTACCTATTCAGAACAAAAACTGTATCGTTGAAAACTGCAGTTGCCAACCCTCCTACTTTAAACGTTTCAGTCTGTCGTAATTTTGATACGGTTTTGAAAAAGTTCAAATAACTTTTAGGATCTTCAGTTTCTGATTTCACATTCCTTGTGACATAATCTGGATGTACCTTAATCCATGGTTTATTTGCGCCATTAGTGAACCCTAAATAATATTGGTGACGTAGAATTTAATAACATTAATGCATAATAAGTTAGTTTGTTTTATTAGTAGAGTAAAGTGAGTTCTCAGTAGTATTAGTTTTTGTGGTTATAGGTTATAGACATTCATTATAATATCTTTATTTATTTAGGTATTTATTACATATCAAGTTTAATAAAAAAATTTATTTAGTTTGTTCATAGTAACTAAGTACCACGATTAAATATATTCCAAACGTCCTGATTATTTATGTTATTTGATCAAATAATCTCTGTCACATTATAAGGATTTGGATATGTCAGAAATAAAAATCATTATTTAAAAACTAATTAATAATTTGCATATCTTTATAAGAAATTTCTTGTTTTTGTCATATCTTAAATAATTAACAGTGATATTTTGAGCGTTTACTAAAGAAATAAAAAAGGCCAATTTATTTTATAAACTTTATTTAATTTAAATTTAACGATTTAACTGCATTTCGAAAATTGTAATGCTTGTAACTTGCATGAAACCAAAATATCATATTAACAATGATAATGTAGTTTTTATCTTAATATTTTATATTAAGTAGATTCATTCATATAATAAAGCAAAAAATATAAGAAAACAACATTGGTTCTACTGAATATAAATTTTATGTTTCGTACGTATTCTGGATGGAGACAAAACTTATTACTACACTTAAAATTCCTATTTTAAATAATAAGCTAATTATGGATAAAATGTTAAATAGATATAAAATATTTGAAACCGTAGTGAGTTTACTTTTGACACGTATTGACTATAACACCACTATAATAGGTACTTACCCGCGTTTTTCGTGTCATCCCACTGCATAAGTCCTCTTGCAAAATTAATACGATCATCTTGTAAATTTTCCATTCCAATTTCTCCTCCATACAAAAATATGGATACACCTGGCAGAATTAAGGACAAAGCATTCAATCCATTAATGAATTCGTCACCGTAAACATTAGGAAACCTTGGTTTGTCGTGGTTTTGGAGCTAAATTATTATAATGAATTATGATTAAAATAATATTAAGAGCCATAAATAACCCATGCAAAGTGATATTATTTTAATTAAAAATACAAATTTTTAGATAGGAATTAAAAGTTTTTGAAATTATTGGAAATATATATATATTATATACTATTTACTATTGTTATCTACGTATATTATGAGAAAATATCAACATTCCTTGAAAAGTGGTATGAATAAAAATCACGAGATACCAAAAAAAACTCATGATCCATCATTATTGCATCATGAATACAATCTCAATATAAAGGCACCTATTCATTTATCATAATTTAAAATTATTTAGGCATTTAAAATAAAAATGTAGTGTTAAATTTATTATTCAACTATTATAATTAGTATATATTATTATAATAATATATATTACCACTGAGTTAAATGTTGCTCCCATTGGCATTTTAGTAATCCAATTTTCTATTGATCTCTCCAAATTACTTGCATTATTTCTATGTTTGGTCATTAAATTGAAATTCGTTGGTATTTCAACTCCACTAGTGTAATACTTAAATAAAACACTGTTATTACTGTATGACTCGGTCATTATTATCCTGAAAGAAAAATGTAATTAAAATCATATTATATGGAATTTTGTAACTGAACTACAAATGTAAAATACATCATTTTTAGAAATAATTAATAATACATAATATATAATTTTTWAAATATAAAATCCATTTCCAATATTTTAAATTGTTAAGTTTGCATATATTATGTTTAAGATTTCTTTAATTAGGGTCGATGCCATCTTCATAGTTAAACTCAGTAATATACATTATGGATTATTTATACAATGATAAAACATTTTGCTTAGAAAAATAATTACATCAATCAATGAAAATATAAGGAAACAGTTTGTATATTAGGTGATCTACATTTCATGTTCAAAAATCTTGATTTCAAAAACTATTAACATTTTTAATACATTTTTTTTAATAATCTTAATTTATTAAAAAATTTAGATTAAATACATTAAAACCAAAATATAAAAATTGAATTTCGAACAAGTACCTCGTAAAATCTTGAACCACTTATCCATTTATCAAAATTGAATAAAAGTGGACACATTGGTACCGTTCTTCTGTACACTATTTGTCTAGTATTTCATCGTAAAGAATGTGTTGTATTCAATGATGAACCATTACATTAAGAGCGATTCAAATTTAAAAATTTAAAAATAATAATAATAATATTTGAAAATACCTCATGGTTATAAATGCTTTCCATTAAATGTGTTGTTGTTGTTGTTGTTGTTGTTAAAATAATTGTTGGGGGAACTTTTATTAAAATGTATAATGTTAAATATGAAAATAAATGTTTAACACAAAAATTATTTGAAAATGTTTAAGAGTTTGATGAATCTTATTAAATTGTGAACTTTAGATGCATATAAACATAATCCTACCAAGAATTTTAAATATTTTTGAACTGTTATTCCAATAACTTATGCGAACTTTTGAATTTAACTTTCAAGCTATTTTATTTAGTGAAAAAGAGAGTAATTTGAAAAAAATCTCAACTACTCATGTTCAAAATTAAACAAAATATTTCGAAAATATTATAAAGTATGAAAAATACCAATTTAAATATTTGTTCAAAATTCTATTAATTTTTTTCCCAACACTTTCAAAAACCGGGAATATTGACCTCMCGAATTTATCAACTAGATTCACTTTTTTATAATATAAAATATTCATGTCAAAAATCAGAGCTTTCTTAAAAATATCTGTCTTTGGAATAAAAAATAAATATAAAATATTTTTATTTAAAAGATTAAAGAAAATAATAGATGATAGGAATTAAAATTAGTAAAATTATAATTTTTCTAAAATTTTTTTTTTAATGACTTAAGATTACGTGGGAGAAATATTTTCAAAAACGTTATTGTTTCCTAAAATAAATGCCTTACACTTAAGTAAAATAGATCACTTCGTGCATATATTTAGTAATACTTTATTTAAGCCTATACTATTTTATTTTACTAAAGCACACAATACTATCAAAATAAATAAATATCATAGTATATCAGATATCTAATAATAGCTTTAGTAGAAAAACTGGTTTAAAATTAAGACTATACTATGACATTCCGAATAATTCCTCAAACCTTGTATGATGATCTTTTTGTTTAAACCCATCTAGTAGTAAACGCCATTCTTTAAGCAAATCATAAACTTCATTTTGGTCTTCTGTATATAAATGCTTTAAATTAATGTAATCAGTGCTAGGATTATTTTCATCTTTTTTTGGTTCATCTTTCAATGATTCGCTTTCGTATACATGTTTTAACGCATCTATTCGAATACCATCAATTCCAAATTCTAGCCAATAATTCAAAATATTCTTCATTTCCTCATGAACTTTTTCATTGCGAAAGTTTAAATCTGGTAAATTTTTTGCAAACTGAGCCAAATAAAACTGTTTGCGTTTATCATTCCAAACCCAAGCACTTGACTTTACAACTATCATTTGCTAAAAAWAAATAATATTAATTAATAAAACATAAAATATAGATGGTGGTAGTGTGGTAATAGAGACTGGTCAAAATGTTTGATATTTGAAAAATTGAACCAAATTTTAGGTGTTCGATTTGAGTTTAGAAGCCGAACCTAGATTAAAAAATCAAATCAAAGTGAATTCGAACAAAAAGTTCAAAATTTTATCTTTTATAATCTTTTATCTGAACTAAAAAAAATATGTTTTGAACAAAAAATGTTTTATATTATATTTTTAGTTTGACATAAAGCTAAAAATGTAAATATTCGTAATTTAATTCAAAATATGTTTTTGACTTAAATTCGGTATTAAAGAAAATACTTTATACGGATTCAATTTTATGATGGACATATGCTTAAGTTCAACATTGCATTAAATTGTACGGTTTTGACATACGATTAAAAGTTTGGTTCTAGATTATGTTTTTTCTGTTTGATCCATCTTTAATGTGTACTTAATAGTTAATATATTAACCTATTTAMATAAGCATTATTTCTAGTCAAGCAAATTCCCCCTTTTTACTGAATTATTATCAAACATTTTGATAAATATGGACAATAAACATCAAAATAATATTATAGATATTATTCAGATTTTTATAAATTTCTATTGGTAAAAATAAGGTTACAGATTTCGAATTTAAGATTAGTTACGAATCAGTTACAAATTTTTAAATTACGAAGCGTATATCTATTGGACAAGGGGGTGGGGT